CACCCTTCTTTCTGAAAAATTGAATTCTGTGTGTTCTGTGTGAGGTTGCTGATTTCTGTAAACTACTTTGAGAAACTTCAGAAAGACAGAACTGTGGATGAGTGAGAAGTCATGTTTTCTTAGAGCAAGGAAAACTGATTAAAAAACTATTACAGAAAGAATAAATTCATTAGCCAAACACAGACTGATTGCAAGCTGAGCAGGAGAGGCAGGGCCCACCAGTGCAGGCTGCTGGGCAAGTGGGGAGCTCTGGAACTGCAGAATATCAAAGTGGTGTCCACACAGATGAACCAGAGAAACCTTCTTTCATGGTGGGCTTTAGCTCAGAGGGTTCTATATAACTCTGAATCAGCTTTATAGTTGGTAGCTGTTTTGGTAGAGAAGGCCCTATATTATATGCTCTTCTCATAATCTGGTTATAAGGAGAGAGAGCACTCTACTGTTCCACCCTTTCCACAAAACCATCACCCTACAAATAATTAACCTGTCTACCTATACAACTGCTCATTGCTTTCCCAAGCAGCAGGTGTAGTCGATACATTGCATGATCGACACTGCTGACCTAGCGTTCTGATCTTTGGAAATGAAGATGACTCAGAGGGTATTGATTTCGTTGGGCTTGCTATTTACCAAAACACTGAGCAATAGTAGAAGTACTGAAGTGCTCGCAGCAGATTCTGAAAGATAGCACAGCATCCTGTTATATCCTTCTTCAGATTTACATGAGTGTATTTTAAAAGAAACAAGAACCAGAACTTATATTTTATTTTTATTCAGTGGTTGAAATGTTGCAGTATTACATGGTTTACATCCCTAGTTTTACCAGGGAGACATCCTACTAACCACTGACTTTTTTGTTTTTTCAAGTAATATGAAAGGGGGACTACTTAATTCATGGATTTTGCTCTGCAATGTGTTTCACAAACACATTTTTTCCTATTTCAACAGCCAATACTCTATGGTAGAAGATGATGAGGACTTGCCCCATCATGATGAGAAACATGGAATGTGGGAAATATCAATAGAAGCCAAGCTGAAAATCTGCTGCGGGGAAAGCGAGATGGAACATTCCTTGTTCGAGAGAGCAGCAAACAAGGCTGCTATGCTTGCTCTGTTGTGTATGTACCCTAATTTGTGAATGATATAACCAACATTTGAGGCACCTACCTTGAGCCAGGGGCAGATAGACACTTGCATATGCATGGATCCCATTGGATCTTTGGTCTTAGAAGCAGACCAACAAGTCCTGAGGCCATCCTTATTGCTGCTCCATTTCCTACACAGCTCAAACCTGTGCCACTCCCACAGATAAGCCTCATGGAGAAGGGAAACCAGAGCATGGATGCACTCCTTTATGTGCAGCTGCTAAGTCCTACCTATCTCCTGCCTCCCTAAGCTAGCACAGCATCTGGGAATTTGGGTTAAACCTAGGCTTTTACCATTATCCCACCACAGAAGACAGGAATTCTATGTAGTGACTAGCACTTTAAGATTTATTGCCAATACCGTATTTTCTAGCTTAACTTTACTGTATTGACAAAGTAAAGACTGGGGTTTTTTTCTTTTTTTCCTCTTTAGGGTGGATGGAGAAGTAAAGCACTGTGTGATAAACAAAACACCCACTGGGTATGGATTTGCAGAGCCATATAATTTGTACAACTCGCTCAAAGAACTGGTTCTACATTATCAACACACATTACTTGTGCAGCACAATGACTCCCTCAATGTCACACTAGCCTACCCAGTATATGCACAGCAGAGGCGATGAAGATCTTAATACTCTGGATTATTTGGGTTTTTTTCTAAAGAAGATTTGACAACATTGAGGCCTTTGGAGAGAGAACGCTCCTTTCAGCCTTACTCAAGAATCTGAGCTGCAGAACCAAAGCTATCTATCTGTCTTCAGATGGGACTAGAGCTATCCTTCACAACTGCAGTTGGAGAGATCACAGTATTAAGCTGTGAATGTATGTTTCTAGTCTGAAGTGCTTTTTTTTTTAATTAAGAAAAGAAAAACAAAAGAGAGAGAAATCCTAACCTGATCTCCCTGCGGGGACATAGAGACCTTTAACCATGGTGCTTGTTTGCGACCACTTCTGAAGCTTTACCAGCAAGAACGTTGGATTCTCCAGAGACAAGGTGTAAGAGGTCTTTGTCATTCGATTATTGGAATTTCTTGATCAAGACCTGGCTTGGATTTGGTGTTGTTGCACTCTGTGGACCCAGACATGCAGCACTGTGGATTTTTTTGTTTTCTAGTGAATGATATGTAGCAGAATGGCACTTTCATTTCTAAGGGACACTTTAAAAGTTACAGTATGTTGTTCAGAGGAATGGTAATAGTGAAGTGCCAGGAAGTGTTTTGTTTAAACATTTAAAAATCCTGTTTTAAGAATATATTTAAGACTGAAGAAAACAGAACTTTCAATGACATACAGTATATAATAATGTACATAGTATTGGATGATTATCATTGATGGAAACTGTCAATACCAAACTGCTTCTGTTTTCCTTTTTCTGTTTGCTGAAAGCTGAATTCTTAGACTGTGCTATGCAATACTCGATTTTCTTTAGGCTGTAATCTTCTTTCAAGCATATTTACAGGTTAAGCTTGCTTTTCTTTCTTATTTCCTTGTTGTCTTTTCTCTTTCTGTCTTTTGCCTGGGAATATTTTGTTCTGATGATTATTTTTTGTTATTAATTTTGTTGTTTGTTTTTTTAAAAAAATGTGCAGAAAGCCAACAAGAGTTGATTTCAGAATTAAAACTATGAAATATTTTACAATTTTCTTTGTATAGAATATCGAGCTATTAGCTCAAAGTTTTAAAAGTTCATAATTTTTTTTACTAAATATTTTGTTGGGCAGTGCCTGGTAAGCTTCAAAGCTGCTTTATTCAATAAAAAATATATGAACATTACAAAATATCACTGAGTCCAATATTGTTTCAGAGATATCTTTAGAATACGGTACTGTGCTATGTTTGGGTTTTTAAGTATTTTGAATTTCTATCATGATTGTCTTTGTATTTGGAAGATGAAAAATTGTGTATCCTTCTCTGATAGTGACTGCAGAAAAAACAGGAAGATTTTTACTGGTGTAGATAGTTTGGATTTCAGAATGAATCTGTTCTTCAGAGTAAATAAATGACTTCTTGACCTACTGTGGCAGAATTTTTGTCAGCATGTCAAGGTATTTTCATTTCATATGAAGAAAGTTTCTCTAAACTGTTGCCTAAGTTTAGGTTTTTTGTATTAGTATTGTGAAAAAAACCTCCCGCCTTTACTCAGAAGAATTGGATACAACATAGAGCTAATCAAGACTGGAAAACGTCTGTTTTGAAAATTATTAGGCTTTCATATTTAAAATTTTGGATTTATTTTTGTAAGTTTGTAGACTGAGGCAGTATCAAAGTGAACACTTCTATCATTTCAAGCCCCAGAGACTTATTATGGTTTAATTAAAGGAAACAAATATGTGAATTCCACTAAAGAAAACTTATTAGGAATTCAGGGACAATTCACTGAGTTGTTTGCAACAGTTATTTACTGTCCTGACCACTGAGGAAATTCACACATTGCAAATTGATAAAGGAATGAAGTTCAGAGAAATCTTGGAAAACTTTTGACTAAATGAAGATATGAATTTATTCTTCCCCTGAGATGCAAAGGGAAGACCCATTACTATTAAAGGGAGTTGCACACACAATCAAAAGAGTAATACCCATGGAGTTTTCTCATAATAGCTCTTCTTAGAGCTACATGTGTTTTAATTCAAAGTATACAGTGCTTATTAAGCTATTGGAAATAATAAGAAGAAATTTGCCACTCTCCAATAGTTTTTATATTATCTTTTATGTTTTACGTTATTCCTTCATTTCTGAGGCTGTAAGGCTTTTGATTTTATTTTGACTTTGTGCTCTCTTTTTTTTGGTAGATTGTCTTTGCTTTGCTATAGGTGTATTTTCTTACTAGAATTTATATCAGGAAACAAGATTTAACCAACATTAATGTATCGGCATAGTCACCACTTACAAAATTATTCTGAATATTTTTTTCTGAATAGCAGTTTAGTTTTCATCCCTTCCCTTCCTCATTCCATCCTCTTTTCAGACCTGTAGGTCCATGTAAATTTGGTTTACTAATAACTGGTTTTTTACTCTGAAAAGTGCCAACAATTACTCTAGCATGACAGTCATACTACTGGGCTTGAAGTTACAAATTAGTTCAATATACAACAATTTAACACTTGTAGCAAGTTAACGCTTTGGACATATGTTGAATTTTGGTTGTTAAGTATTTTAAGAGTAAAATTGTGGGGTTTTTTTACTCTATAAGCAAAATATATGTAATCTGAATTGATGTTTCACTTAGAATTTCTCCAGAAATTTTATGGTAGTTAAGGCATTTGGATCTAATTTTCCTCATATTAAAAAAACTTCTGCTATGTCAGTGGGTCATATCCTTAGCATGCCAGCCCGGTATGGGATATCATTTGTTCCTGTTGTGCCGTATTACTACTCTTCATCTGTGGTTGCAGCAGAGAAAAAAATACTGTGTGCACAAATTTGGCACTTGCTTTTCTTGCACAAGCAACAATGAGAAATAATCACTATGTTGTGAGGATGTGTGCTTAGGGCTTCTTAAGAGGAAGTTCTGCCTACACAGGATCTGTGCAATTTCTAAGGATCACGCCCTCAAAGTGGGCATGAGTGGGTTTTCTTTGGTACCTAGGTATTGTGTGGCTTCTGCATTTCCCTCCCTCCTTAATGCACAGAGCTGCGTCCTGTCAAAGGCCCTATTCACTGCAGAGTTGTTTGGTTTTTGTGTACCATATTGTTCACTCCAGTTTTGATTTGCTCTCAGTCTAATATTTACAGAAAAAAAAAGCATGTGGATATAACTGAAGAAACACGGTGCTTTTCTATATTTCTATTGACATACAGTTTTTGCATCTAATATGATTCAAGGGTGGGAATTGTTTTAGTATGCTTTTTTGGTTTGGGGAATTTTTTGTTTTATTTTAAATCCCTGAGTTATGCTGCACTGCAGCAGCACTTTCACAAGGCAGCTCAAAGCACAATGCCTCCCATGGGACAAGGTTCTAAAATGCAACATTTTATGTAGAACATGTTGTATTTACTGCAGTAGAAGACTAAACTGGACTGTGGGAGTTGGTAACGTTACATTGCACTTGTCCTAATGAGACTGCATTAGCTGCCCAAGATGCTGCTATTTTTTTATTCTTGTTTTTAAAAAGAAAGCTCTGTTCTGTTAAATGTCTTTAAAACATTAAGATTACTTTGGTTTAAAATGATGTTTGAGGAGGTGGAGGGTAAAGTGGGTTGCAAATTGCCTTTAAAAGGCAACAATGAAAACATGCCTCCTTGAAATTTTGTTCAAGCTATAGAGTTGATGGAGCTGTGCATGTCTTGTTTTTAAGTTGCTTTAAAAATTGTAATAAGTCTTCAAACAGAATACAGGTTGTTTTGAAACTGCATTTCAGTTGTTGAGACTTCAGTAAGGACTGAGATGTCTCTTTACCAGAATCCTTGGCTGGCTCTTCCTGTCTATATGTGAGCTACTTTGAAAATGAGAGTCAAATGCTCATATTATTAGAGGGAACTCAGGAGGCAAATTATTTCATCTGACTCACAGCCATCCTATGTATTGAACTGAATGGAGTAGTTTAGCTCCAAAATAGTCTCGTGCCAAATAGTGCCAAAATGACAGTTCTGCTCATCTCATGCTCTTGCAAAAGCAGTACAATATTAATGATCTGTAATCTGCCTTTTACAGTGCAGATGAAGTTCTGGTTCTTCTGAAATCAGTGTGAATTATGTCATTGCTTTCCATGAAGCCAGCCTGTCAGCCTTTGTAACTAGAGGCATTATACCAGCTTTATGACTACATCTGATTGTGAAAACCAATGTGAGAATGAAGAAGAGGAAGGAAGTAAAGGGGGGTTTGGGCAAGACTGATTCTGAGCATTGTTTTCTTCCGCTCATTATTGATATGCAGTATCTGAATTCTTCTAGCCTGTCCATATCTTGCCCTGGGAGAAGTCCTCTGAGGAAGTCGGCCAGGCAACCACTCTAGAAGCAGAAAGAGATTCCTATTCCCATTCTGTCCAAGGTTTCCATTCTAAAATCTGCCCATATTTTGCTCACTGTAGTCACATAATACCCCTAACTGAGGTACTCAGATGTGGGGACTGAGGCAAAAGAAGGGTTAAGTGTGGTAGAACTAATAGGGAGGAATAAGCAGCTGCAGCACTGTTTTGGCAGATGAGGAAGTTGTGTGAAGCTACTCCCTAGATAAGGAGGTGTTGCTCACAGGGAAGAGAGATTCCCTTTTCGGTGGGAACATGATCTTTTAGAGTACGTGATGGTGTAAACAAGTAAAGTAGAAAATTACTGGCCTTGGTAGAAAGTACATAAAGAACACGCTTGCTTAATAAAGATGATTTTGATCCTGCATATCAGAGTCCATGTCTTTCAGTCGCCCCACTCGGGGAGCACAGGCTTGAAATAATTATTAATATTCACAACATTTTCACTGGCCCTTAGAGGTTCTTATAAGAAACACAGCTTAAAGGCTATTATCATATTTTTAGTCCACTTAATAGAAAGCAGGGTTAAATCTCCAATGAACATATCTGTTGCAGTTTTTCTCAGTAAGCTGATTCTTTTAGACACCAAGTTTTTCTCGTTCCTGCTCCCTGAACCGATGTTAAACAACACAAATTCTTCTGTAGCCATAGAGCTCAAC